AATACAGATGGCCTTTATATGTACAATTCGATTGGTGGCGCTGAGTTGGTAGTGGCTAAGATTCCCCATTGCTATGGCAGATACCAGAATATCCATTCAGACATCCACGCACGGTAAGTAAACTCTAATTTGATACGGGCAGTTGCATCAAAAATTACAGAGGCGCTCACCGATCATCTCTGCCAGTTTAACTAACGGCGAAGATCATACAAATTGTAGATGATGATTATGGTACTGAGAATGGATAAAATGCTGATTGACGTTGAGATCAGAGATTCATCATGCTGTGAGACGAGAGGTTATCATGATCTTGTGGCGGTAGGCCAACCGCCAACAAACCCTGGCAATAATCTGAACTCGCGATTTCTGCAACTGGAGTTGGCTGATGCATCCCAACAAATATATACACGCTGCCCATTACATTACACAAATCATTAGCCGCCTGCTGAGAGAGAGCAAGTGGGAATAAAATAAAGTGAAGCTTGGCTTGCATTTTGCACCGCCAGCCCGTGTCACCACGGCTGAGTTAATAGGGGCCGCGGGCGATGCCTGCGCGCAGCTATGAGAGTCGATAATGAGCTGAGAAGGTGTGAAGCCATCAGCCGGGGGCTCTCCAGGCTGCTGTGTGATAGTGGCCGAGCGTGGTTGGCATGGGCCCTGGTGCAATTACCTTCCTCTTCGTGACCCGGTGTCTAGACTCCTCTGGCGCCTAAGCTTCGGTGCAGATGCATTGCCGGTAGCCACGTGACTGCTACGCCACGGCAGTCATCCACACCTTCTCAACGCTGCGTGTTTAGTGGCCGAGAGGTTTTACTTTGAAATTAGCCCGAGTGCATGCTTTAAATAGATCATCTATAACGCATACTAGAGGGTGGCCCGTTCTACAGATGGCGTGATGAGATACCTGATACTAACCTGACCATTAACCAACAGTAGACAGCACTCAACAGATACACAGCACTCACTCACCTGATACCCTCTTCACACTCACCACTCATGTCCCCAATAGACACTCACTGACACGATACTGATTACTGCTGGCCGCTCTCCGGATGACGTGATTTATAAGCTCCAGGGTGATTTCAACAAACTACAACATCAGCTAGTTGCTCTTAAACTAGTCCTGAATACCTCCAAAACCAAGGTGCTATGCTTCTCACCAGGACTAGAGCAGGAAGTTATTTTTCCCCAATTACATTCCTTAAATAATCAAATAGAGCAAGTCAAGATCTACAAGTATCTTGGGGTCAACCTGGATTCAAAACTGAATTTTGAAGATCACTTTGATTATATTGGTAAAAAGACAAAAATAAAAATTGGTTTTCAGTATCGACACAAGCACTGCTTCCCCGCTATGTTCCGTTTGGAATTGATATAAGCTACCATACTGCCTCTACTTGATAACTGTGACATCGTCTATAAATCAGCCCCAAGTACTGTACTGAAGAAGCTTGACTCAATGTATCACTCGGCCTTAAGATTTGCATATAGGACTCACCACTGTGATCTCTACATTGGGTCAAACTTAACATCTCTTAATGTTCGACGGCTTGTGCATCAGATCTTATTTATTCACGATGTACTTACAAAAAAATCCGCAGACTACCTGCTGGATCTCCTCTCTGTTTCAAAGAACAAATTTGACCTAAGGTCTTCGCTCATTTACCAGCTTCACATTCCCTATTGCCGTACAAATACTGGAGGAAGGGCCTTTGCTATTGATGCCCCTAGAGTCTGGATTGCTATTGCCAATAAACTGCAACTTGAATCACTACCTATGAGATCTTCACTCAAAACTGCTCTAGAGGAGTTGTACACCCCTAGCTGCCACTGTTCTCACTACGGTTTGCTCGGTGAGCTCGTTGTGCCCATGCAATTTTAAGCTAATTCACGTGGCCGCAGTTCAATTCGGCCCGGGGGGGGGGGGGGGTTGGCCAATCTCCTGGCACTGGGAAACCGTGGGACGTCCCCACGAGGGGCCCCTCGGGTAAAAACCCAGGGTACCAGGTGACCCCCCCACGAGACCCTACGTGGGTGCATGTGTGTGTTTAGTGGAGGTGTGCGTGCGTTCATGGGGGGGGGGGCGAGGGGATAGCAGCGCTGGCAGAGTTGCACCGTTGCTGTGGCACCACAAATTTTTTTATTAAAAAGTCTATTTAATTAAGTAGAACGTGTTGTCTATATTTATTTAAAGTTGTACATTTTGATGTGACGTCACATTTCTCAAACCCCCCCCCCTCGTCATACATAGTCACAAATGTCTGACCCTCCCCCCCCACCAAGGTGCGTGACGTCATTTATGGACGGCCCCTTAGGGGATGTAACGGAATGCCTCGGCTAATTGTGTTACAGCAGTCTACAGTACTGAGACGCTGCAACTACAAGGACAAGGCCATTATGAAATCCTCTGGGAGAGCAGCTCTCCTCCCTTTGCACACAAACTCACACACATACGCTTGCGGCGTGTGTGTATATATGTATACCCACACAGACACATATAGTAAAACACAAGCACGTTTAAACCGTAGTCTTAATGATACAGCTACACAAGCAAGATTCATACCAACGCACATTGAGTGCTACGCTCAACTAAGCATGCAATTTACTGGGGCATTCGCTTCATGTACCGGGCAATAAATATCTGGACAGTAAATTGCCAGATAATCGATTGGGCGAAGGTGCCTTTAGTTTCCAGTGAATGCGGAGACATTGCATGTTTAGGAACTAGATCCACAGGGCCTATTCCTTTCTCACTCAATGACTGATGTAATGTGTAATGTATAAGGTCAGCGGAGGTATAATTGCTCGAATGTAAACTTGACTTGCAATCTCCATATGTAGTGTGCAACAGCTATGCTTAATCCACTGCTGTATCAATTACTTCTCCCAAGCAGGCACCATCTCTCACAGCAGTTAGTTCATTCACAATAATAATGCCATTTAATTACCCAGTGAAGTTTCAAGAACTTTTTTCCAGGAAGAAGGTCCTGCATTGGGATGTTTGGCCAATTACTTTCATGAGTGTTTGGCTTAATGTGAGAGAAAACCAGAGGACGCTGAAGAAAATGCCCTGCACATGAGGGTTTAACACTCAAAGCGCCACATAGGTAGATTCACGATTCCACTGCTTGACTGGCATCGCATGGCTACCATGCAGCCTTAGCCTATGTATCATTAGACAGTCACCCATTCTAGGTCAAACCAGGCTGAAAATCTGCTTAGCTTCTGAGATCTGACAAGTCAATTAAAAAGTTGGTCTCTCCAGCGTAATAACGCACGTTAATTTAGTCTCGACATATATACAAAGACTCTACCCTAGGAAATGTGAGCGGTTGTTTACATTGTATTTGGAAGCTAATTAAATTGGGTGGAACAGTGGCGCAGTGATTAGCGCAACGCCCTATGAAACCGACGATCAAGTTGAATTCCTGACGACGAATAACATCAGAGACAAATTATATCTGTTGGCACTTAACCTGTATTTTAACGGCGGTAAACATTGGTACTTGGAAAGAAACGTGCCATGGTGGGTGGCGAGGCACACCGTCCAATGGAGTGGAGCCGCCTGGCGGCCAATGGGAGTGTAGTGGGTATTGTGAGCGTAATACGCAGTCACCACTACTTACCTGGTGTAGCGCCAGACATTGGGCAACAGGGGGCAACAGCGAGTCCGGCCTGTATAAAGTAACGCCGTTAGGCCAGGGAACCCAGAGGGCGGTTGGGAACCGGAGGTACACACCCCAGGCCCCCAGTAGGGGCTGGAGGATTACGCAATAATCCAGGTACCTCCAGAAGGCCTAGACAGTAGGCGTGGCTAGGGGCGGAGTGACCCTGGGCACCGTATATAAGTCGGACCTCTGAACGGGTTTGCCAGTCGTCAAGCAGAAGACCGAAGAGCCACCGCAGAATAGGACACTGGGAACCCCCGGACCTGAAGTCCTTGTCACGGCCAGGGTACGAGTGGGACAGTGGTCGGGACCCAAGGACCTTGACTGGGTCGGGTCAGGCTAGCCTCCCCTAGGTTCCCCCTAGCCGGAGGGCTGTGATGCAGAGATTGGTCCCAGTGATTAGGGTACGCAATCCCGGAGGCTATACCTCCCCAGGGTATCGGGTGAAGCCCCCTTGTGTTAGGGACCTTGTGTTACCGTTATTAAATAAACGTGTTGCCTTCAGAGAAGACTGAGTCTTCATCTGTACCCGCTACAGGAGTAAAAGGCTGCTGTTTCATTTTATGTCTAAACAAGCTATTTTATTCACGCGGACTCTCATCAATTAAAATTTTGCACAAACATAGTATACATTTCCACAAGTTATCAGTGCTCATATATTCAAGAGCCGAATGGCTCACAGGGCTATACCAAAAATAAATAAACTGAAACGTAATAATCTACATAGCTGAACCTGCATTTAAAAGGTGTGCGATATTCTTTCAGGACTCGGTTTTCTGGAATATTGCCGTCTTTAAAATTTGTTTTGATGTTGCCGTGACTCATGCAGCACCACGGATCTTTCTTGTAAAATAACCGGGAAACTGCCTAAACGGGATCATCCGTGAAACTAATCAAAATAAACAAACAGCGCTTACTTGGTTATCAAGGACTCCATATGGTCAGCCATATAATACAATAAAATAAGACAAAGTTGTCCCTATAGGCTTAACAGACTGTTGGAGCAAGTGCTGTTTGCGAGTACCTATGAAGGCCGACACGGCACGCGAGGCAGTGGGTGGCCAACACCACGCCCGGCCGCCTTTGTCTCTAGTGACGATGTTTACACACCGCACCAGGTACTAATTTGAGGCTGAGTCGACCTAGGGGAGGCCCAGAACCGGTTCAGATAATCGTCACTGGTGTTGGCCGTGAGCGGGAAAAGAACCCGGGTCGCCAGGTTCACAGCGCAGCGCGCTAACCGCTACACTACCGCTCCCACATAATACAATAAAAAAGACAAAGATCCCCCGTATAGGCTGAATATAGAACATACGCACGAACATGCTGATGTGTGATACAATCCCAACGTTATCAACGGGTTAAGCTTAGTTTATTTGTTTAAACATCACGGGGATTTTCATTATACATTCCGCACAACAGTTCCACGATATGTTGTGCAATGTTGCACCGGATTCACATGTCGTCGAATGTTCCTTTTCATTACATTTTGGGTCAAAATGTGGCGGTGTCTCCAGCAGCAGTAGGACAAATTGCTAAGGGCGATGTGGTTCAGCAATTTCGTCACTATGTGAATCTCTTACCCTTTACCTTTTTACACCTATATATAAACCAAGGCAGCAGGCAGTGTATTGTATTTCCATTGCATCCGCAGCTTTACAATGCACAGAACATAGGACACTACCGACCTTATCTTAATATTCAGTTACGCACCCAAAGATAAATATAGGGAAATTCATTTGGAGGACCCTCACAAAAATAGGGAAAACTTGAGAAAACATTTCATGCGAAAGCTACTCCATGTCTCCCACCAGTCTCAATACACTTGCTATATCTTTTAAACGTTCTCCCTCGGTAAGATATGGAGCCATTCTTTTCACAATACTCAAATCTGTTAAGAGAATCGTTATAAATTAGTGGGGTGCCTATACATGGAACACCCTGCATTTTTAACAAAGGTAAATATACAAAAAGCGTATACATCTCTTGCTGTCAAGATGTTTCATTTGGGAGCGATCCATATATCGAAAAAAATATCAGCACACGGGTCCAATTGTCAAGTGGTCACAGCAGATGGAGCAACCAGTGCATTTTTGCATTTGGCCAGGTCCAAATGCATGGGGGGTTCGCCCATGGCCGACAAAACAAGCACTTCCACAACCCAGTAGACTTGTCCAATCGGGGAATGTGCTACTCAGTAACTTGTTCAGTAATAAACCATTAATATAAGCAATCTACAATGCATACAACAACGTAGTGTTTTATCATGCCCCTCTTGTAATTAGATGAATAGTAGAAATTTAGAATCATCTTGATATAGACTGGAAGAATCCGATGAGCTATGAAGCTCTTTTTCACAGATGTCCATTAGTTTCACATGTCCAATTCATGGCTTATATTCAAGATACATTTCTTACTGCCTATATTTTCACTTGTGTAGTCTAGTTTACTGCTTTAGTTCAATGGTAAAATCTACATACTTGCATGTATATTTGCTTCTTGCATATATACGATTCGATACATACAATTGAGCATAAGAAAATATTTTTTTATCAATGAATCGTTACATGCAAAATACCTACACAGTATAAAATACCACGATCTGTGTGCAGGTATACGGAGGCAGCAGTGATGTTAGGGTCCATTGCTAGCAACCATTTACGAAGGACTCTCATTCACTTCAGAAGTGCGCACTTAAACACCTGCATTGCTGAATTCTTGACTGCACGCGAATTTAAAAAAAGTCATCAGCCATGATCCACACCTGAATAAAGGCCTCCCCAAGCAATAGCCATCTCACCCTCTCACAGTGAACGTCCTTTCGGGCATGTCCCTCCTGTGGCTGCCAGTCCATCGTTAGCAAACGCCCATTTACTCTTTACGTCGATGTGACGTCTTTACATTTGTAACATGGCTTAAATGCATGCTGATCAATGGGTAGGTCACTTGTCAGGTTCCATGCCACTGCAGGCAGTGACGGTTATCGATACCCACTCTGCATAGCGGCACGTAAACCACATGGGGCACCGATCACTCTTTCTAAAGGGAAATGCTCCCTGCCATTTCGAGTCAAGCGTGCCCCAAAGCTCCCGAGTTTGAACGACCACTGCAGTGTAGAGAATGCAATATATCTCGACGCATGCAAAGGCAACCCTGCCTAATAGACGAGACGAGGTGAAGCGAGGCGAGGCATGGAGGCTTGACTTCCAATTCTGCTGTAACCCCGTAGAGCTGGCCGAGCAGGAGATTTATGAGTGCCACTGCCTGCAGGTGAGGATGTACGTGTTGGAAGATGTTTATGAAATGCACAAGTCAGGCTCCTGCACGATTCTTTGGCAAAGCACAATAATTCAAAGAAAAAATAAGTGAATACTGCCATGGTTTGCTGTGCCACTGTACAGTATTGCTGAAATGCACGTTTGTAACAAAGGATGGAAGCAAACAGTTAAACATTTGACTTTAAAGTGAATGCATATTTATCATGTAATTGAGCAAAACAAATTATACTCATGGCTTTAACATGTAGTTAAACAGTGGGTAAGTGTTTTAAATTAAAAACAATTAAATTGAATACAAATATATTGTGGATAGAATAAATATTGCAAAGAGGGATCAGAGCTTTCAACTACTATATAGATTAACATAGTTTCTCAACAATGTAAATTAGTTACAACTGTTATCGAAACATTGGCTTATACTGCTGCTGTTTACCAGTAACAACCACAAACAGGCACAGTATATAATCACAACCAAGGCTGTTGAACATTTTGGTGGTTCTCTTGTGATAAACATACATATATGCTGGCCTATTTCTATATATTGCAACATAAGATGATCTGGTTGGTTCCTTTTGGTTTCATCTTCTGGACTGGTTGGTTTTGCTTAGAGGATGATCTGGTTCTTGAAGCTGTGCTGCAACTCTTTGTGTGGCAGAACAATGGAGTTGAGGATCACAACTTCTGCTGGGATGGAGACATTGCAGCCTGTATACACACACACAAAGACAGAGATCTCATGTGTAGCCCTATTAGCGAGCATATATTAAGGCAGGGAAACTGCACAAAGGGGTGGTGTGGCGAGCATCATGCCCGGCTGCTGTTGACGTCCCAGCACTGACGTTTATAGACCACATCAAGTACTCATTCAAGGTTGAGTCGACCTAGGGGAGGCCCAGAACAGTTCTGATAAACCCATTAATGTTAGCTGTGGAAGGTCAGGTTACTGGGTTTATAGTGTAGTGCACACTATGCCACCACATACTTACATGCAACACACATATCAATGAGAATACATTTGCAAATGGCTAGGTAGTACTGTGGTGAGAGCTCATGACTTGTGATTGGAAAACGCAAGTTAAAATCCTCATTGAGATCGACTCAGCGTGTTATCTCTGTGCAGTACACTTTGTGTACCACTTTGTGATACTCACTCAACAGTAGTGATCCTGCAGACTATATAGCTCCTGCCACAGACATTATGGAATTTCCACCCGGGTCATAAACACCAATGAGCATGAGGTATGGACTGGGGGTAATACTTTGGCTCTGACTTATTAGTCTTCTTTCATACAGATGAATTCTGTGCAGAAATCCAGTTCATGGTTACATGAGACAGCAAATATATTCTACCCAGCCCTGAGAATGAATATAGCAGGCACGAGTTTTTATCAAGTGATCGATTGTTTGTTTTTGGTGCATCTCCACTGATTTCATAACAATTATCGTTGACAATTATCGGTGAGCAGAAACATTAGTTGCACACCGAGGATGGTGATGGAGGGGTTGAGGCGGCCGTCCGTGTTGAAGAGGCTCTCCGAGTCCATCTTGGCGAGAGGGTCGTTGGGATTGGGGTCACTTGGGGTCCCCTCCACCCGCGCCCAGCGCCCGACCACACTGTCCCAGCCCACAATGCTGTTGAGCACACAGCAGTGGTCCTGTGCAAGAGCATGTCCACACAAAAGCACAGTGCGTGTTCGCCACAGAAATGTACAGTTGCGCTTGAGCAACGAACGGAAACGAAGTTTTGCGTTAATGAGGTAAAGCACAATAAGACACGAGTTTGAGTTCAGAAATGCCCCGTCCCAAAGGGGTAATGGGTAACTATGGAAACAGAGGGCACTGCAGGGAAAAATCCACGGTTGTACTGTACTTCTATGCTGTATTATCAAATCACATTTACGATCCACACGCCGTGGGGAGCCCCTCATCCAGCAGTGGATTGACAAAGGGATGTAGGTGTGCAAGTATGATAAGGTTATTATTTAATTGCAACCCAGTCATAGTAGGAATATATAAAATGTGGCCCTTTTTGAGTATTTCAGTGGCACACGATGTCCTCCTTTTGTGAATGGCCCACTCTCATGCTGTAACAGCTGCAACTCATCTCACACTCATGCGCCACAAGTGCCTCGTCAGCTCAGCGGAAAACGCAGGGTGGGGTACGTCAGCCTCGAATTAATACAGTCTGGATCCAGGCTGGCAAACTTGGCTGATGTGGAATAAATTATACTTTTTTTCCCATAATTATTTTTTATTTTGACCTCTGTGCCTGTTGTGGCTGCAGAGGTCAACAAAGTGAGAAAGTATGATGTATTCCCATTGTCCCTACAGCATCACTCACCAGCAGATACACCACCCTTCACAATAGGCTGCCTTACCCATCAATGATTTGTAGTATGTTGCAGGACTTCAACATGTACAAGCACAAATGCACACAAAGAGACAAAATGCTGTCATTGACAAAGACATGGCTGACAAACCTGCAGCGTGGAGCCCTGCAGGATGATGGATTCACGAACCCTCACACCCGGCCCGATAACAACATCCATGCCCACCGTCACGTTCGGCCCCAGCTACAACACAAGGCAGCACAAAATTATTCACTGGTCGGCTTCCAGTGGCATAGCGTGGTTGTCATGGACCCTGATGGAAGAAATGGAATGGTGCCCTCTGTCTTATTTACTCTTCATAGCACGGCACTTGGATTCGATAACTTGCCTCAATCAAATCCATGGATTATGAAACGCCCATGTCATATTACCATATTTTACTATATTTTGAGCTCAGAGTGGCATGGATATTTGATCTTTTGTGCATAATGTAAAAACTGTATTTAACGGAAAAAGTTGTCTTTTTTTGTAGAGATCGACATTTATTTCATTTGTAATATATACTCCGTATTATATTCAATACAATGTATTCAGCAGCATTTCTGTTCACCAAATCTTTGTTGTTACATTTATAGTTTCCAGAAGATCGAGTCCCAGAAGACATATGATGCAATCTTATTGAATATCATAAATTGCGAATCTGAATTAAAAATGATTGTCCATTCATTGTGTACAAAAAGGTCTCACTTGCATATATAAAGTCTGAGGCATTTCATCCGTGAAATCCAGTCTATTTTTGATGCTTTACTTTTCACAGTTACATCTGCATAGTTCGGAATATTTCCAAATAACTTTTCCCTGGTGGCCTTTTGGCATGTTACACGAAATATCCATTCCCATGTTGTCAGTGAAATGATGAAATATAAACTAACCAGATTAAGTACTGATATTCTCTCTTTCGTATGGCAGGAGGGAAACATACTGATAGTAGCTCTGCGTTAATGTTAATATGCCATCATACTCCCATTAAGGTGATGCTATGTGGTGGGCAGCAGAGGGCAGCAGAGGCTCTCATGTCTATGCTCCTTGCCTTTCAGAATCAGAATGTATATATGTATGTCGAACTCGCCACGTACGTAGCCAACCGGGGATAAGAAAGGTTTTAAGTATGGTCAAATAACCCTCACAACATGCATGGCATGCAGAAGCCTTCATCCAACAGTTGACTGAGAAAGGGCTGCACATGTGCATTAGTATTAACAAATTAAATACTGGTGTTGGTAAGAAAAGGAAACGTACAGACAAGAATGTACCTGGTTGTATTACCTATCGGATACCTGTCAAGGGGGTGACATTCCACTGTCGATGACTCAGATCTGATTGGCTGTTGGGAAGCTTTATTGATAGCTGCTGTCTAAAAATGGTTAATCCTAGGGTGGAAACTTATCACAGAAGTAATGAGATCCTCATAGAAGCCGATCTTAAGAAAGATTGGGAAGGGTAGGATAAATGCATTACTGTGTGGTGTATCAAAAGCCCAACTGTGTGTGATCTCTGAAAGAGATGTCTTTGTCATCATGTTCAATCAACAATTATGTTATTGCTTTGCATGATATTTTACACACTTTTGGAGGTAATAAATCAGAATTCCATGAGCAATCTCAGTGAAGTAAATATAAGTTGAAAAGTGCTTTTTTTATATTTGTTACTTGAAAAAAACTCTCAGTAACTGCAGGGGCTATTAGAGATACATGAAAGCTATACTTTCCAAACAAATGAGTTTTTCACTGTACAAAAAATATAGGTGCATTATTATTCTTGGTTCTTTCGGTAAAGTCACGTAGAAGGGAAACAATAAAAAAATATAAAACAATAAAATGATCACGACGTTTCGACTGCAACACAAGCAATCATCATCAGGTGTGAAAACCACAGCAAGAAAATTTGAAAAAAGTGGCGGTTATTTTTAACGTTAGCACCACGGAGAGCGATTTGACAGTTTGTTAAGATGGACGAGTCCATCTATGTTCAGAAAAGAGGAGGGGGGAGACGAAAATAATGGATGCGGTCTGAAAGCCACCGTAAGCGTGAACAATAAATTAAGACCCGAAATGGTTTATCAAATCCTTCCAATGATTGCTAAGCCAGAATCCATCTTCTAACAAACTGTCAAATCGCTCTCCGTGGTGCTAACGTTAAAAATAACCGCCACTTTTTCAAATTTTCTTGCTGTGGTTTTCACACCTGATAATGATTGCTTGTGGCAATCGAAACGTCGTGAGAATTTGATTGTTTTATATTTTCATTATTTTATTGTTTCCCTTCTACGTGACTTTACCGAAAGAATCACGAAAGCTTTAAATCAAAATTTAGGTGCATTATTGTCAGAGCAACTATTTTAGTGTTTCAGAAGATCAGGATTTTTTGCCATTCTAAATATGTAAAATAGTGTAATGACTTGGATCTTGGCAATAAAGTCAAAGCCAAGAATCTAAGAACAGAAAATATATATGGTGCTTTTATCCAGTCAGTTCCCATATTTCAAATACATATTGCTAAGCTGTATCACTATATGAGCCAGATCAGATGAAGGATGTTATCTGATTCTTTTTCTTCTAACATGCATACATAAACACACAGGTCAAGCACATAGTTGGGTAATGTACAACCAGATTTTTATATAGTTCATGCTTCAGTGTTAATTCAATACCGTTGTTTCTATTGAATTTTTTTTTCTTAATCAGATTATGAACCGGAAACCAAACTTAGTACAAGATCGAGGCTCTGTGGGCACAGCAGACTTCCTGTACACACGACTGTGGGAGTGAGACAGTGCCAAATGCTCATTGACCAAATAAGCACATGGTGGAGCCGTGGAAGGTGATAATTATACTTGTAATGGTTATTTATGAAAGCCTTTTCCATTTCATTTGCATCCATGTATTCTGAAATGGGGCCATTACTCACCACAGCAGTGGGGTCCACGTTTGCTGTCGAATGGATGTAAACATCTCCTGGAAGAAAAAAAGAAAACCTTCAGTAAAAAACACAAATCGTGTCTAAGTGATGACAACTGCTTCCTGGATAGGGGTTTACCCCCTGACGTGTCTTACACTGATTTATTCAAACTGCATATGTAATACTGCCAGCGCATTACAATTAGCTATTACACAAATCCTCCATTTTACATAAAACCCCAGAGCATGAGTACGTACTTGAGTTGCTACCTGCCCCCCTCCCAACCTCCCTTATACTGAGTTCCCATGTGTTTATAAAGCTTGGCATTACTGCCAACTCAAGCAAGAATCCAAAGTCTCCAAAATGATTTCCATTCTCAGGCTGGCCAAAATTATGTTTGAAATTGTGCTGAGTATAAATATATTTTTGGAAAAGACCTGCCATATTCTAGATTTAAAGCTTTCGTGACTGCTAGGATCCATACTCTTTGGTTCTATTGGGTAAAGTCACGTAGGTAAAAAATAAAATAACAAAAATCAGCGCTGTCCTCCAGACAGTCTCGTCCCTTCACCTGATGAAGGCCGCTTGTGTTGTGGCCGAAACGTCGTGATTTTTGTTATTCTATTTTTTACCTACGTGACTTTACTCAACAGAACCAAAGAGTACCTGCCATATTCACGTTATAACTCGATTAACATTAACATCTCACTACCGCGAGATGTTAATTACCTCGCCTGGTATATTTGAAGTTTGCATGTTCTCCCCGTGGTCGTCTGGATTTTTCTCTGGGTCCTCCAGTTTTTCCCTCCACATTTAGAAACATGCATTTAGAGTATTTGGCTGTTATAAATTCCACCTGCTAAGCCACTTCGTTGAGATATCATGTGGCCAGGTCACTTCTAAAAAAAATGCTATAAAGCTCAGTGGGCCTTGCCTCGTAAAATAAAAAGTTTAGTAAAAAAAAGTTTAGTAGCTCATAAAATCATATAAAAGACACTTTTTTTGGGATACTAGCCAGCTGGAGCAGCTGGGTGTGTCTTCACAATTTATCGAGTAGGCAGGAATGATACTAATCTAATACTAGTCATGTTAAGAAAACCTGAGGCATGCATATTCCCCTTCTGAAGTGCTCCAAAGTAATTATGATAATTAATATTCAAAACTGCACAGCGCTTTATGCTCATGTACACAAGTAAACATTTGCATGCATGCGGGTCCACATCAATGGTTGTATGGCCACCTTGGTGTGTGCCATCGCTTACCGATGACCTTAGGTTTGCCAGACCCATTTTCCGAAAGTCTCTCTGGGTGGGTGTTGTGGTAGCTGCTTAGGTACAGGCGATTGGCATATATTGCTGAGCTGCACATATCATAGAGAGGAAGAAAGAAATGGGAAGGGTGGGTTAGGTTGAAGAGACTCTTGTTTCAAGTGAATCTCACAGTTTTAAACGTCATGCACTTATGTGAAATTTGTTTGAGGAAGGTGAATGACGACATATACAGTGGTGGGTGAGGGCAGAAGAGACAGCATTTAAGACATGGACTGTGTGGTACAAAAATAAATGAAAGTGGTTTCCTGCTCCAATGAGAATGGAAAAACACTCATCTCCTCTTTATAGCGCTGAACCAGTGGTGAAAATTCCATATTCCTATAATAGGGGCATTTTTTCTCTCCCAAAGAACAACCACAGTTGACTTAACCACAAAGTGGTACTCATAACAGCCTAAGATGGGTGATGGGCTGAGGTAACCGACTACAAGATCTGGTCAGTTAAATAAATAATTAGCCAAGAACAATGTGCTGCTGGATGAAAGCTTCCCAAGCTGTCTCCATCTTACATGGTCCCATGATGCAATAATCCATCAAGCACCTGCACACGATCTTATTTTATTCCTCCACATGGATGGCAGATGCCCTTTGGGCATGTCCCCTCCCTTGGCTACGAATCCATCATTAGTTTCATCCATCGTCCATGATCCCACCTAGTGACATGCCATAGGCCATGATCCCTGCCCAAGCCCACTTGATATATTCTTGACTGTTAATGTCTTTAACCTGTATGTTTTATCTAGCCCACATGTTTCTCTTTCTGTCTCAATGAAATCACATGCTTCTTTGCGAGCTCTATCTAATTGATTCATCAAACCTTGTTAAACTGGTAAAAAATAAATACATGCTCAAATATGTACAATGTGGAATAATATATATATCAGGAAACGACTCTCTATCACGCCATAATTTAGCTTAGATGCATGCTCTAAAGATTATAACTACAATGTTTTTTTTTATATGCCGAAGCCAACTTGCGCTCAAAGGAATGTATTATTTTACAATGATTTATGTGTGTGAAATATTTTTAATTCCTCATGTGAATTATTTCCCTACTGATTTCTATTCGCTTCATTACTGTTGTTTTAACTTTTGCCATTTTCGTAACCTAGGTCACTCTTGCATACAAGACAATCCTGGTCTCTTATGTTCTCACCTGGTTCAACAAAAGTAACTTGAAACTCATCCAGGCAAAATGCGTTTACCTGTGCTTAGCCTACACACACGTACCCTGCAGATTTTATCTGGCTCCAGAATCCGTCAGTGTGGAAGGTGTAGAGCGAGCGCTGTCCTGCCAGCGCTGTGAACACGTCCTGCTCCAGCCGCACTACCTCCGCACGTGCCCAGCTGGTGCCGTTAGCCACTTCCTCGCTGGGGCATGCACAACACACACACGGGCAAAACGTATACAACTCTATGTGCACTACTGTGGAGATCCAGGACAATGAGTATGTATGAAATTAACACTTTATTTTACGCACCTGCTCATTATATATTTGTTGTGCAAGCGGACTTATGGTGAGCACCCATAACAGCCAGACGAGCAGCACGGGTATTACCCACTGCCATTCCTCACTCTCAAAACACACGTGGTGCAGCCTGCACTCATTCCGTTCTGTAAGTCTTAGCGCACACACACACACACACAGCTCCTTAAAAACTACTCACACTTACCTCAAACAAATGTATCCACCAGGTACGTAACACTTCGTGAGAATTTGATTGTGTTATTTTATTTTTATTAATTTATTCTTTTATTCTCATTCTACGTGACTTTACCGAAAGAACCAAAGAAGATGTATAATGTTTGCAATGGTTAATTTACAACACTCAGAAAATAGGTAGTTTATTTTCCATGTAACAAAATTAAAGGTAGAAAAAATATTTGAATGCATCTGAATTCTGACAGGGAAGGGGAATAAAACTATGTTACTAAGATGGGAATCAAGTTATACTCTGGGTTTGCACTCATGGTGACCTAAACCAAGGCCTCTTGAAACAAATCCTGATGTTGCGACACAGCCCTTGGATGTGTGTCACTTGCCTAGCAAGTGATTGATCCCCAAGTTATCTACTAACATAGATGTGCTTGAAGCACCTGACAATGGAACACTCCAAAACTATGCATCCACAGAAACCCCCACGACAACAATAATCACACAATGTTAACACTCAGGTTTTCGTTTATTTTTGTTAAAGACCCTATCTGTGCAACCTCAGCCAGAGGACACTGGACAAAAAAGTGTTGTTAGTCCAATGGGCTTTTAAAAATGTATTTACATAAAAGTGAATATGTTAGTTTGTTAGTCATGCTAGTCAGCATATTTTTAAGGTCTTCACTTAGTCAACTCTTTCATAAAAAAAACAAAGTGAGCGTATATTGAAAATTCAGCGGCAGTCAATGACATCTGAGAGCTTTGTTTACAAAAGTCACCCTGACCAAATGTTAAGTATAATTCTTATATTTGGATATGCATTATTCATGTCAAGAGCCATTGTTTTGAGGTCAAGGGTAAATAAAAAATAATCAATATATGCAAGTCTGAGTGTACTTCAATCTCCAGTTCTCAATATTCACTGACCACCACCCCTTGTTTGAGCGACATAGTGAGGTACGGAGCTTTGCACAGAAGAAATGTACAGATTAAGCAACCCTCCCCCGTGCCAAAACAACTTACCTGGTGAGCCCACACCTGTGCCGTCAAGTTGGGAACAAGGGAAAGTGAGGAAGGGATAGAGAGATGAATATAATAAACACAATGGGGCATACAAAAAGGATGTGGGAAGAACATAAGCAGTTTGGAAGTGGTTTAAAAGGATTTAATGAGATAAATAGTGAAATAACACAAATCACTAGAATGTGTAATGAAGTGTATGTGTATATCTTACTCTACCAGAGGAAGAGAAGCACGTGTTTCGTGTGCTCGGCTACAATCCCAGCGATGTGAGTTCCCAGTTCAATTCAAATGGATTATTATCTAACAAATCATGCACCGAATAATTCATCCATGAATCAATTATGTACGTAAATTACATGCGAATCTATACAAATGAGAAAAAAATTGACAAATAAGTATTGATTGAATTATATCACAACCCTAAATTGTAACAATTCATCATATCATTAATGGGTTCAGAGGCGGAGGGTGGTGTGAATTTCTACACATCTTTATGAAGGATTATTTAAGGAAACATTATGAAGGAAATTAACTGAAAATTGATATGTTGTAAGGTTTCTCGACGCCAGCACTGATTGGCTGTGATGCTCTCTCCTCTGCCTCCTGATGATTCGTTGGGACCTGAAAAGGTGCTTCTTAAAAGCACTCGCCCTGGTCAACTAGGGCAAAAAACAATGTTTGTCTTTCGTACGTACATTGAACTTATTTTGCACTTACGTAGCCAACCTTGCTAATTGGAGGTGCTCTAAACTGAAGTTGTTTACTTGCCCATGTAGTGTATTGACCATGCGACAGGAAATTAAAATAAAGCTCTATTTTCACGAACACAAGACTCACGCAGGTGTTATAAAGGGCCCTCACTTTGTGTGCACTTTGTATAGCATTGTATAGCATTAACTGTAAAGTAAACAAGAATTACCAAGCGGCTTTAAGAACACAAAATGTTCTCCCCATGAAAACTGGATGAGCAAGAAGTTAGCTAACCATAAGGTTCGCCATAAGGTTAGCTAGCCACCTAACAAAAGTGCCTTTTGTAGCCGGCTTTATAAGCAAAAGTGGGATTTAAACACACAGTGATGTATAAGGCGTGGTGCCTCTGACGCCATTATCGAGAAACAGGGCTTACCTGAGTAGCTCCTGCTGATTTTGCTGAAAGACGGTAGCGATGTGCTGGAAGATTTCTGGACAGAATAGGTATACTCCACAATTGATGAGCTCGCTTACAAAGGTGCTTGGCTTCTCAACGTAGTGCAATACCTACACATGAGAGGGGAATATGCATTCTATCATCTTGCAAAGGGGGCAACGTAGAAGCTAATACAATAGCAAACCCTGCTGTTCTGAAAATGCATGTCAAATGTTATTGATTAGCTGATTATGCAACATAACTCTTGTTTGTTCCAAAGGTTCATATGCTTAAGATTATGCCCTGACCACAAGCACTAAATCACCACCTGGCTGTGGCCAAGAAGCAATGCTTTCTCACCTCATGGGTCTCTGTGTTTTCCACTATGCAGCCATAATTCAGCGACTGCTTGCGATTTGCCTGCAAATACATTTTTTCACAAACAGATAAACTTAACAAATTAACAGGCAATCTCATAAAATAAATTCCAAATCACAACATTTATTTACTTTGAAAGGATACTAAGGATGTATACCTACTATAATTATTACCCAGGAATGTCCTTAATGCTCGTGACGTCACTCCACATCGACCAGCCCCCCCTAATTAATATTCATGAGCAGGTGACATCACTCAATATGGAAACTCCCCCCCCCCACTATTATTAGCTACTATAATGAGCCAAGAATGCCTGTGTATATCGCTCGTGAGGTCACTCCACGTCGACCAGCCCCCCTCATTAATAATCATGAACAGGTTACGTCCTCCACATGGACCCCCCCCCCCATTAATAATCATGATCAGGTGACGTCACTCCAGATGGAGCACCCTCCCCCCTCATTAATAATCATGAGCAAGTCACGTAACTCCGCATCGAATAGCCCCCCCTCATTCATAATAATTAGCAGCTGACGTCACTCCACATGGGGGGCCGAGGCGCCTCCTCCCCCCTCCTCGGCGTCAACTTACAACCCTCACTACAAAGGCAGAACCCTCACGTTGCGCGATCTCCGTAACGGTATTGAGACGTAGAAGTAAAAGGACGTCATGATGAACAAGGAATTATAACCTTAAAATTAAATAGGTCTGTGTCACCGCGCCCTTAAAAATTGCACATGAATGGATGCAATGAATATCACGTCGCAGTCTGCTTTTCGCTTGCAAGTTTAATATTTACCACAATACACCCGTCCTTGGACGGGCAAAAGGTTAGTTTATATTATTTGTCAACTAGCACCACAGACCTATGAGACAAGATAAGCAAACTAGCTGGCTCAGAACCACAAGTAGTGAAAGTATTTGATGTTAATTCACTACTACCCTCTTGTTTACTTAACATTATAAGAGAACTTGCATTTATTATTCATCCCCTTAATATACATATTTATTAGCAATAGTAATGCAAAAGCTAGTGCACCGTGCTATGAACAATAGCTAACTTGAGTAGCCAGTCATATTCTAAACAATCCAACCCACACATTTACCAACGTAAAACAACTTCTGCGAGGTAAGGACTTCATTCAGCAGTGCACTGATAAAGCACTATAAATGATAAGACACATACAACACTCCCGAGGCAGAAACGGACATCTACACGTTGTAGCGTGGTTGGCATGAGCACTGGGGTAAGGAATGAAATGCCTCTCCCCCACTCACCCCCCGCCTGTCTATTTTCCACCTCTTCATAGGCCGGCACTTCTTCCCCCCTGGCCCATGGGCGATGGTGCAGGTGCACCACCTGTACACTCGATAGCTACGCCACCGTCCGTGCACACACGTACGTTGGTGCACATGACAGTGAAGTTGTGCATGGCCGCGTCCCGCGCTCCCAGCATGCCAACGAGCGGGAAGTCGGCGCACACATCCCCGTTCAGGACAAAGAATGCCCGCGGACCCCCCGCCAGGATCTGGTCACGGAAGTGATACAGTCCGCCAGCTGTGCCCAGTCCTGTGTACTCTTGCAGGTATCTGCACACGTGTGATAATGGGGGAGGTACATGGTCATAGGCACAGGTGTAAAAAGTTTTTTCAAGAGGAAGTCATGAATGAATAGGATGTCAGCTAGACTTGTCTGATTCGTCTCATCTGTGCCCTGTCTAGCTGCCTCACGGAAGAATGCAACAGTTATCTTCCTCTTTGTTTTGTCCCACAGTTCAGATTTGGAGACTACTGCATTTTGAACCATATAAAATAAATAGTAATTGTCATCCCTTTACCAATAAACTGCTGAATGAAGGCAACTAGTTACGTACTACTCTTCCTCTGGTAGAGTAAGATATACACACACGCTTCATCATTACACATTGTAGTGATTTGTGTTACTTCAATATTCATAATGGGGGTTGTTTGCCCACACGTCACCATGCCGGTCAGTACAGGCTGGTGAAGGATGCCTGGACCACTTTAGATATCACTCATCAGTTATTATAACTTGGCTGGGAATTGAACTGAAGTATCTAGCGTCACAGCCCTGTGCTAACCAAACACATATAAAAAGCTTGTTAATGCTCAATTTACTATCCTTACTGTAGTTGTCTTTATTATAGGGGGATGTTTGTTTGTAAGCCTTAACAATTGTAACAAAAACACAGTATAAGTGTGTAACTATGTATTCATAGATTTGAGGGTGTAGATGTGAGTATTATTTCTGGTTATGCAATCAGTGGAAATTAGTGTCTGAACCCTATTTTAGGCGAATGCGAGTCAGCTTAGCTTTAAATAATACCTGGCGTGGTATGTTCCAAAGGTGGGTGGACACTTCCTAGAAGATATCCACCACGCAAATTGAGAAATTAAATCATGTTGTGTGTAGAAGTGATGTTGTTTGCATCGCAAGACTGTGACAGACGGTGATGTGTGCATGAGCGTCAGCATCAGGACAAAAATAGCATCACCCTCGTGTGCGTCACACAAGTGCTTAACGCACTTACCGCACTTGTGTGACCAACCTATGAGATTAACACGGGAATGTAAGGACGAGTGTGGGGAGTGTGGAGAATGTCGGGAGTGTGGAGAATGTCGGGGTTGTTGGAGAATGTGGCTATGAGCCCACTTTTTGCAGGAAATACCTTATAGAGACTTTGAACTCCTGCTGCGCCTGCACAATAAAGCGGCTGAGCACCTCACTCGGCTGATAAAATCCGATGAGCAGTACCTCCTTTAGGTTCGGCACCTGTACTTGCCCAAAAAAGATGAGGCAAAAGTAAAAAAATATATTATCATTACCATCAGCACGTCGGGCTATTGCCTGGCAGTAAATGGGTATACATATAACTCCTTACAAGACACTCTTCAGCAATAGTAAGTATTTTAATGGTGTTTGCCTTTGTTTACTTTCTCGAAAGATTGTCTCACCTGACTGCAGGCCTCGATGTGGTGCTGGATGATAGGGAATCCAGCCACAGGGAAGAGCGGCTTGGGCACATCGAGTGACAGGGGACGAAACCGCGTGCCTGTCAGAACGCAGCCGGGGTGGTGGTGGTGACCATCAGGGATAGTAGGACATTAATGGTAGAAATGGGTGGTGATGAGGTGTTGTAAAGGTTGTGGTATTCGTCGATGGCAGTGATCACAGAAGGTGATCGTGAGGTTGGGAGAGGATATTGGGTTTGACGGTAGGGGCGGTGTGACTATTGTTGCTGTGAAGCGGAGAAAGGCAACGCACATCATAGGATGCTGCGTTAATTTGCTCTGTTGTGACTGACGGTAAAAAAAAAACCTTACTGGATAACGTTTCAAAATAATTAAAAGACAATGTGCGCTAATCGCGACGTAAAGTACTGAATGCGTGAATAATTAAATCATGTATTTCCCCAGGCGGGAGCTCATCGAAATCTATTATCTATTGCAAGACCATAGATGGTCACCATAAAGTTTTACATTGCAACACAGTATTACATTGTATTATCGTGTTCTGTTATATAAAAGGGTTGTGGACGGCCTCTTCTTACCTTTTTGAGGGCCTCCAATTAAGATGACAGCCTTGATCATGTCTACGGTGCTGTCAATATTTTCAATGAGTAAACTGGTAATGTTGATATCGTGTTAATATCGTCAAGAGCACTGTAACGTCAATGGACGATTATGTCGGTGGCGTTTACGTTACCAACGTGGTGAACGACAGAGGGTGATGCTATCGATATTAATCGATGACGACAATGGCAACTGTTTATGTTAATTCTGATGGTAATTGGTTCTCTTAATCGTCGACGTTTCAAACCTCCGCCGGATTATCCCCGCGCTCCGTCAACGTGGCCGCTTCCGGGACAACACGAGCGACGTCACGCGCAACGGGGCGCGTGCTGCGCCATGATTGGTCTAATGGTAGTGACGCGGTGGCTGTTCATATTTATACTACTACAGAGTCACTGGAATCACTAGATGCTACTTTAGAGTCAGTAGGTACTACTATAGAGTCACTAGATACTACTGACTCTATTGTATGTAGGGTGTGTAGGTATTTTATGCCTACAAAATAAAAATTGGCTGGGGGGGGGGGGAGGAAAGATTTTTGGAGAGGGGGGGGGTCGATCATTTTTGGAAAAGTTTTACATCAACTGTTTACCCCCCACTTTCTATTACTTTTTGATTCGGGCCTTCTGCAAGCCTCTTATAATTTTGTTGACGGACAAATGGACAAACAAACGGAACGTTAGGCTTTCACAATAGCTTAGTATTTGTGTATGTATATGTTATGTTTTAAGAGAAGACAAGTTTTGAAATATATTTTTCCCCGGTCAAAACCGGGTACTTCATGCTAGTATTTATATATATAGAATATTTAACATGTAGGCTTTCGCGACCAATATTATTCAAAATAAAGTTTTTTGGGTTAGATCGCGTTTATTTATAAATGTGTCGTAACCCTCCACCACCGACACGGCCAATCAGCAAAAAAAGGTGTCACGTTGACAAAAAGACAAATAATTCACTACTTTAGCCCACCGGTGTGTTGAAGAGTGAATCCACATTTACAGTTTGAGTACGACGTTTGAGTACGACGTTTGAGTACAACGTCGTACTCAAACTGTAAATGTGGATTCACTCTTCAACACACCGGTGGGCTAAAGTAGTGAATTATTTGTCTTTTTGTCAACGTGACACCTTTTTTTGCTGATTGGCCGTGTCGGGTGGTGGAGGGTTACGACACATTTATAAATAAACGCGATCTAACCCAAAAGCCTTTATTATGTATATATAGAATGGTTTCACAATCAGAATGTGTTGTAACTGCTCACCCCGAGCTATAAATGCCCTGATTTGTGGGTTGTCTTTGTTGTTCGCCTTTTGGCGTTCTCTGGTCTGACACTGGCAGTGAGACCAGGCCCTGAATAAGGCTGTCTCTGATGTAAGCCAATCAGTTTCAAAGACAATGCCATGCTTGTGTTAATGTTCACCACAAGTATGTGTGGTTAATGCAGACATGATTCCTTGCAAAAGGTTTCTGTTTGCTATTTGAACATCTTAACACCTTTTTTATTGCCAGAAAGGGTAAAACCTATTCTTATTTTTTCATAATCAGTATTTATTTAGACTGGAGGAATCTGATGAGCTATACAGCTCTTTTCCGCAGATGTCCAGTAGTTTTACAGGTGTTCACGTACATGATTGAAGGAGGAGGGGCCTGAATAAACTTCCACAAGTATTGTACTGTATCTGTTAAGCCGTTTATTTAAGTGCAGTTATTTAAACTAATTTGGATACCCAAATGAGTTCGTCGAAAATTAAGACAATAAAGAACGTGTTTTTTTCCCTCCACAGAAATCTCGCAAGAATGTCCAGAATGAATGGTGAGTCACGGCATGCTGTGACTCCTGTATGACATGTTTCCATGAACAATTAGAGGTTTAAAAAAGTAGGATTGGTAAGTTTCAACATTTTTTAAAGAAAACAAAAACTCTTAACAGTAGGAGTTTCTTTTTCAACGGAATCCTGGGTTTAAATATGTGCGTGAACATTTCAAATCTACTATTGGATGAGGGCTTCCCCACGTCCGGGTGGCGTAGAGTTATTTGACCACGCTTGCCACTGCGGGTTGGTGAAGATAGGTAAAACAAAACTGTCAATTCTATGCGTAAGCACAAACTAAGCAAACTGGTTAAGAAATATACCTTCATTTAGTAGTCCTTAATACCCACCACAAAATACAATCTGAATGACATAGATTACACACGTGATTCCATTTAATTGCCATTTGAACCATGCGCGATATTACCACGAAAGGGTTTGCATTTATTTACGTAGGTTTTAAAAACAATTTTTCACAATTATAAGATTGGCTATCCTCCCTCTATCATCCCCTTTTTGCTATAGTTTCTTGGTATTTATTTGCTAAATAGTTCAGAAAGCCTTCAAGAGTAAAGGTGGTAGCGAGACAAGCATGTATGTACGTGTACAAACAGCTCTTTTGTCAACGCATCCCCATGGCTCGATTATACTTGGTCAATGTGAAATTCGAATGTCGTCTCTTTGCAAGAGACCTTGTTTGCAAATGGAAATTGGTCTCGTTGGAGAAACGGTCAAGCACATCCACGTGAAAAGCAACACATTTTCAAAAACCTAACAGGTTAATGAGAAAGTAATATAAATATAGTGTGGTTCATTATATCATGATCCCTGATTAATGACAGTATCTCTTCTGCTACTACTCAGCGAAATTAATTTAACAAAGGCAATAACTGAAGTAAAATCGTACAAAATTAGTTAGCTAGCTACCCTGTAAAATTATTCCAAGTACAGTACTTTATCCCAGGTCTCCCTAGCAAAAAAAAACCTATCTAACCAACTTAACAATTCCTACCAAGTGACTATCCTGTCTCCCAATTGGCATACACAACTGAGAGTGGTACAGTATATTTATTCAAGTAGTGGTATCCCAAACTTTCACAGCAGCTTATTTCCCTTGACATCAACATTATGTAAACTCCCCCCCCCCGTGCCGGTCCAGTACATCATTTTATGCTAATTCCTTTGTCAAGGCGTTTTTTGTTTCCTCCCACACAGCTTAAAGGACGCGACCTGGGCTTGGCTGTCTTCACTCCAATGCTGTCCTCTGGACAGTCCGGTCCCTTCACCTGATGAAGGCCACTTGTGTTGTGGCCGAAACGTCGTGATTTTTGTTGTTTTATTGTTACCTAGGTGACTTTACCGAATAGAATCAAAGAGTGAAGGGTTTGATTCATGTATTCTCGTTATGTAATGGCTATTGTCACGATTCATGTCACTTTTTGATTGGGTAGACTTTTTTGTCTCGTTTTTACCGTCTCAATTGTATTACCCGTTTTTTTCTTTATACATACAGTCTGCAATTGATCACACGTTAACAATTCGATGCACGTATTGTCACGTTAAGAATATATAGAATTGCTCAAATCAATGCTGATAACCGGTGGTAAAGACCTAATGTCGAAGTGGTAGACACGAGAAAAAACGCGGCTGAGAATACGTCAATAGCTGGAATTAAGCGATTCAATCAGCAGGTGCCGTTTTCGATCACTGGTTCTGAAACGGTGATTGTTTCCGGTGGAATGTTCGCAATTCATGCCCTGATTGGCACTCGGTATCGCACAAACGGCACAGCCATCTACATCACCGAGCGGTACATTGGCGCACGGTTATCAGTAAAAAAAAAGTATAAACCCTGCAAAAGGTTAAATCCTGCAAATGCTTGCTCACGCCACTGCTGGGGGAATGGTCTCCACCACAGGGAGCTCCATAGCGTATTTGGCCTACTCAGAATCAGAATCTATATTTATCCTGGAGGAATCCGACGACCTATGAAGCTCCTTTTCACAGATGTCCAGTAGCGGTGGGTCTGCGAGTTAGATCAACAAATATTACAAAAAAAACTCTATAAGAGTAAAATGAAGGAAACTGTAAGCAAGTCTCTAAAATAAATAAATAAATACATATTCGGTTTTTTAAAAAGACATCTTGGAAAAGGTGGCCTTTCTCATACTTAATACATATTAATTCAAAAAGTAACACTTTTTCTGTTTGTTTTTTTACTTAAATTGTATTTATACGGTAATCAGTCAACAAATACTCTGCCCCAGTCAACTTAACGCTACGGGGAATGTATTATTTAATCGTGATTTATGTTCGTGCAATATTTTCGATATCTCATGCGACAACAGTTGCTTTTTCCTTGTTTCCAACTTGTCATTCTTGAGTTTTCATCTGGTTTATACCAGGGGTTGGCAAACTGCGGAGCCGCATGCAGCTCTTCAAGGACTGTATTGCGGCACTTTAAATATTGAGGGTTTATTTCTTACCGAATTTGAAAAAAATTCAAATTCCCGGATGAAGCTGGATGTAATCACCAGCGAAACGTCGTACTAAAATTGTAAAATGTTGTGGGCTTGCTTTCCAGCACATGCTAAACCTTACTAATTACGCGATTGAACCCAACAACAACAAAAAAAGCTTTATTACGCTACCTTTTGACTTAAAACTTTCGTGACTGCAGGAATTCATATTCTTAGTTTTTTTTAGATAGAAAAATAATAAAAATGAAGTGAATAAAAAAATAAAGTAAAAAATAAACCATTGATGTAGACTGTAGCCTAGTTCTTAATCGGAGTGAGTGTACTGGCAGTCTATAATATAGACTGTACCCTGGTTATTAAGTTTGGTGAGTATACTGACAGTCTATAATATAGACTGTACCCTGATTATTAAGTTTGGTGAGTATACTGGCAGTCTATAATGTAGACTGTAGCAATGGTTATTAAGCTGGGTGAGCATACTGGCAGTCTATGATGTAGACTGTAGCAATGGTTATTAAGCTGGGTGAGCATACTGGCAGTCTATAATGTAGACTGTAGCCTGGTTTTTTAAGCTGGTGAGTGTACTGGCAGTCTATAATATAGACTGTACCCTGGTTATTAAGTTTGGTGAGTATACTGGCAGTCTATAATGTAGACTGTAGCAATGGTTATTAAGCTGGGTGAGCATACTGGCAGTCTATAATGTAGACTGTAGCTTTTTTCTTAACCTCGGTGAGCATACTGGCAGTCTATAATGTAGACTGTACCCTGGTTATTAAGTTTGGTGTATATACTGGCTGTCTATAATGTAGACTGTAGCAATGGTTATTAAGCTGAGTGAGTGTACTGGCAGTCTATAATATAGACTGTAGCCTTGTTCTTAAACTCGGTGAGCATACTGGCAGTCTATAATGTAGACTGTCGCCTGGTTTTTAAGCTGGTTAGTGTACTGGCAGTCTATGATGTAGACTGTAGCAATGGTTATTAAGCTGGGTGAGCATACTGGCAGTCTATAATGTAGACTGTAGCCTGTTTTTTTAA